TGTTTGGGGAACGTATGTCACATCTGGAAGGGTTGTGTCAGAGACTGAGGCAATGCTCACAACACTGTCAGTCATACCCAACACACTATGCATTGCATTGCAGTGACTGTGCGTCGAGTCCATAGACATCGACAGACACTTCTCATTGACGGATAGGTCTATCAGACTATCATTTACGTCCTCAACGGTCACATCACTGGACACTATAGGGCTCACTATAGGGCTCACTGTGGCCTCACATTCACCACTCATTTATATATCAAAATAATTATATGTAAATACAGTATAATTATATCAAAATACAATTTATACAAATTTATTATATATTAGTATATATTTAAATCTCAATCAACTGTGACTAAAACATAATCGTATGTAATGTTATATAATATATTATATGATTAATTAGTAAATTATAAATAACAACAAACAAAACAAACTATGAATTGATGTTCATATGAAATATAGTCATAAAAATGGGTATATTTTGAAGTCTTAATAGTAAATGAGTCGTCAGTTTGAGTGCATTGTATGAAACGGTTGTAGAGATCGACAATACATTGAATGATAGGGCAGACAGTGAGTCATACAGTGAGAGCCAGCGGTGCACTCATCCACTGATTGCCTCACAAGCAGCCAATGATTGCCAGTCCCTCACACTCTCCACCACTCCATCCATGTCTCCCATCGCACACTAAGTCTTAATGAATGGCCAAACTGTGCGTCCATTCGGGTATTTCCCGCAAGTATTCGTGTTATACTAGTCATGGCTTTTATATGTGATATCCCGGTTACATAGATAAGGCACACCTGACAAGCTATACAGTACTGTATAACTTATTTGATAACCTAAACGCACAGAATATTCGTTAAGCAATGAATGTATGGTAAAGATTTGATATTTGTCAGGATCAATTAAAATGATAATAATTGTTTGCATTATTACATTGAGGGCTCTATCAACTATAGTAAAAGCACTTATCTTTCAATTATTATACAATCAATTTTTGTAGACTTTTATTGAAAGCTGAAAACATTATTAATTGAATTAATTGTATTAAACTTTCGATAAAAGTTTTCTATTAATATATATTTTTATCATATAAGTTGTGTGATTTATTTAATTATTGATCATGATTGTTTTATATTATTTCTAAGCTAATCAAGTTATAAAAATTATATAATGTGAATAGTTCAAACTGTGTTCAACATTTTGTATAAAGAGTTTGTTTCCAAATCATATAAATAAATTAACAATCATAATTAAAATAATATTCTGTATTTATCTCTACTTATTTATCTAACTTACAAACACTATTGTACCCATACTAATGGCATAGTACTGATGCTAAATAAAAATATATAATTTCATTAAACTATTTTTTAATTCAAGTTCATGCAACGAAAAAAGATTTTATGATAATATAAACCATTTTATCGGTTATTTACTACTATTTAAAAAACAATTTCCAAATCATACCAAACATGTGATGAAAAATGTATTTTGAATGCATTTACACTGTAAATTTTACAACATATTATTTGAAGGATATTTATTTGTTTGTTTAGAAGTTTGCATTAAAACTTGTTATTCATGTCAAATGAAAGAGTTTAGACGTTTTGAAACACAAACAAATGGTTTTATATCGTTCAGACCTTTTAATTCTTGACGCCTACAGTTTAAATATTATTATACTACAGTATATGTCATATGAATTGCACAATATGTATGAAAATATACAGTACCTGTGGGGCAGGTTTTACATTATTTGTCTAATTGACTCCAATGTACTACTCGATAAGCTTTCCAAGAAGCTTCACATTATATTTAAAATGTGTTAATTTTGCTTGCAAACAAAATGTAATTTTATTTTTTATACAAATTATTATGCATAAAATAAGTCAATTTATTAACTTAGCCTTGAT